TCACCCCCCTCACCCCCCTCCCCCCTCAACGCCCCTAACCTAACCTGATTCCTCTTAACCAAAATCCTCAGCGTGTTCTGCCTCTCAATCTCGGCCATGGACTCCCAATTCGCAATGCGCGATAGAGTGCCATCTTTATTCACCACGAGCGGTCCCAAGTGGTCGAGTTTGACTGCTTGGCCGTCGACGTTGAGTTGGGTCGTGTTGTCGTTTGTGGAGGGTGAGGGGAGGGGCAGGGGGGCTGCTGAGGTGGATGCTTGGTCTTGGTTTTGTGGGGAGATGTCTTGGGTGCTTGTGGGTTTTGCTTGTTCGGATGGTGGTGGGGGTGGAGGGGTGGATGAAGACATGTTGCGGGTGTGGTGCTGGGATTCGAGGTGGAGGTGAGAGGTGAATGGAGTTGTGAGTGAGGTTTTTGCGTTTATGCGAGGAGCGCTTGATGGATAGAAAATTGGTTGTCGCTGCACGCGTAGAATTTGAGCTAGAAATTTTGATGGTTGCATGAATGGCATTGAGAAGTACAGAATCAAATAGTTACAGAGTGATTATATGGCTGTTGGGGTTGCGAGATGTGGAAATAGCGTTAGAAGCTTCTTGTTTATGGTGGTGCTTCTAGAAAGCTCCGGGCACTGTAGCTACATCATACGCGCGTACCCAGTGCTTATTTTTTGCAAGAACATCACACATGGAAAATGGAGAAGAAGTAGTAGGAGTCTCTCGATTCCATAGCCCAGTATTTGCATCAACTCTCAAAAGACTCTGAAAAGTGCTCTCTTCAGAATCAGCATCAGCAAATTATGCATGTTGTGTGTGGGGTCCCAATCAAAATAGGCAAGAATCCACAGCCAGGGCGTCCACTTTTTCTTTTCCTCAGGATATCTGGTATACAACGCCCCACTAATCCCGCCCGTGTGAACCATCTTCCGCCTTCGATATCACGTTTATTTTTTTCCTTTGTTCTTTGACATAGGCGAGTTTGCAATGTTATCTCAGCGTTATCGAACAAGGAGCATGGACCAATTACCTCGGCCGATGGCAGCCACCATGGCACTCTACATACGTAGGTGTACAGAATGTTGATGGCCTCGAAACGCTTGGTTGCTGGGTAAGGCCCTGGTATGGCGCAATCACATACACAAGGTGCATTTGAAACAAGAAGGGTTTTGACAGAAGCGAAAGAAGGCTGTGGGTGGACATGTCCTGCATGCACGCCGGCAGCACGATGGATGAGGATTGCAAATGCGTGTGTGTGTATGTAGGATGCGGCACAGTGTACAAGGGGCGACCCAGGGAAACGGATGGCAGCGACAGGCGCCATATCTTGAAGACACACGGGTTGCCGTGTCCCAGCAGAAGCGTGTCAACTGCCGCTGCAAGGCGGACCCCAACCCAAGCACCCGCGTTGAGGCGTCGATTTCACAGCGGCAGGCGAGTTGAAACAAAGCAGGGCAGAGGACGGCGGAAGATTCCATCCGGGCACAGCATGGGCGGCGAGTGGTATGGTTTTGGCATAGTTGTGGCACTACGGCTACGCAATGTGGACGTCAGGGGGCCCGTTCCAGCCCTCACCGGTCCTTTTATTTTTTATTTTTTTTTCTTCGGGGAAAGCGGGCAGACCAGAGGAGGAGAGTGAAACTCACGAGGTGCATGGCATGGGGGGGGGAGGACAGAGGGGCGGACATGGGATGGCGGCGGACAGGCGCCACGACACACTCGCACTCACGGCGAGCGGGTCAGAGGCTGCTGCAGTGCTGCACGACATGGCGCTTGTGTGCCGGTAGGCCTTGGCGGGCTGGCAGGGTGACGGCAGCTGGAGACACAGGCGGGCAGAGAAGCCCACTTTGACGCCCACGCCCACCCAGCTCCGGGTATCATCCACACTCCCAGATCCGGGAGCGTAACCGCAAGTGGGACTGGAGCTTATTCCAACTTCGCGCGCTGACTGCTCACGTCCCAGCAGTCCCAGCAGTCCCAGCATCGTGGACAGCGCCCCCCCTTGAACCTTGAAGGCGACGACGCGTACTCTTGCTGGGAGAGAAAACTGCCTGAGACGGCCTAGTGGTTTCGGGGATTAGGCTGGGCACGATGCGCAATTTCCAGCGGCGAGCACGGTGTCGGGTTCGCAACGAGGGTGGTGTGTGTCGGGCGTGCCGCTGCCATGGCATGGCTTGATGATGGAACAACACGTGGGGTTCCCTAGAGCGCCGCTGCAGCCAACAGCCAGCAGCTAGCGACTAGAAAAAATATGCACGGTGGCAGCTCCAAAGCAGTAACCCTCGTCGCATCTGCTCGTTCCGGTTCCCTCTTAGCAGTGACAGCAGGGCATGCATGCCGTGCAGCCGGAGAAAATTTGACGGCCAGCATGCTGTCGAGGCGTTGCAGCGAGCGCCTCGGCGTTTTGTTCCGCAGAAAAAGCGCGCCGCCTTGTATCCTGCCAAGCATGTAACGTAAAGTATCGGCAGGCCGCAAGCGAGAACCACGGCAGGGCCCTTGTTTGTGCACGGCCGAGCCGCTGGCTGGGATTGGGACTGGGACAGCAGCGCTGGCTAGGTCGACTTACTAAACACGTGTGCGTGTGGGCAAGTAGTGTATGTATGTGCAGCAGAACATGGAGGGTTATGTACGCTCTGTGCAGAAACAAGAAAAGCGGCAGACAAGCAAGCAAGTATAGCCGTCGAGGCAATCCCGGCACTTCCCCGATGCTACCTCGACCTAGTGCTCGCTGTAAGAACATGCCGACCACCAGAATAGCTGCCTGCCACCGTATCAACTCGAGTCAGCCGCGGCATCGTGATCAGACGACACTAGCCGTCATCTGTACGCTAAGTGGCCGACCTTTTGAGCAATCGTCGCCGTTGCGGCCATGGCAGGCGTGACATGACTGTATCTGAGTGTGTAATGGTATCGTTGTGCGTAGTATAGCACCGCCAGCACAACCACGTCGCGCCTTGTATTGTTGGCCGCCGCCGTCGTGCCGCATGCGCCGTTTCGATTTGACAACAGTGCGCCGCGGGCCTGCTCGCGTCGAGGTGCCCAGGCTTCGAGAAGACGTGTTTCAAGGCCGAAGGCGTGACCGTATCCTAGTGTAGGCATGGAGAGCGAGAGCATCTATGTACAGACTTAGTCATATGCACGTAGTGTACGTACACACACCTGATATGTACGCACATGGCACATTCGAGTACATTGCAGGAGCGCAGGCCGAGCGATTGACGAGCCGAAGATTTAGCGGACGCCGTTGCAGTTGCTGGCTGCAATCTCAGGCCAAGGGTCTCCCCTGCCTACGCGCTAGTCCCGTCTGGGACAAACCTACGTCACCCTCACCAGACTTTTCCTCATCCCAGCCTCGGCGGCGACCAACAGCCACGGCTGCCACGCCAGATGGTGCCGGTCGGCCATCTTGTCCGTCTGCCTATCTTCCCATCCATCTGACCTGTCTGATAGCACAGGATTCGCACATGTTTCGGACTTTGAGCATCTGCAACTCGAGTTATGTCGCGGGCGCCCCGTGCAGTCGAACCGCGAGCGTCTGTTGTCTGTGTTCGCCGGACGCCGTCGGTTTCATGGTCGGATATAAGGGAAAGGACCCTAGCAAAGCCACAGCCGCCAATGCGACAGCAAAGCTCGGCCTTTGTCGGATGGATGCTCGCTGCTCGGATGAGTTGCTTGCTCTCGCGCCTCGCTGCTCTAGAGTACCGATCCGATGGCTCTGACTCTGACCAGTTGCTGCAACTAAGGCGTGCGCCGACGGGTTGCTGAGCTGGTGGTATAGTACAGTAATAGTAATAATGTGCATGCTCGCGCGCGCGACCGTTTCCATGGGTGGCTGCCCCTTGGCCGTCGTCCCGTGGGCAGAAGAAAAAAAATGTAGCCAGGCATGGGAAATTGTTGCAGTTCGGCCCTGGCCGCTGGGCCGTGTGCGTCGACGGCCAGGTTTGTGCGGCTCTTGTTCTTATCGATTGCAGCGCAGCAGCGGCGGAGTGGATGAAACCCCTAGGCAGCGCGGCCGTCGACATGGACATGGACAGCACGGCGGCGGCGGGTTGATACGGCGGCAGAGGACGATAGGAGACGTGGTCGGTGGGCACGATTCAAGGGCACCGCCAGCGCGCTGGCCTGGCTGCAAAAGGCCTGCGTGCATGGGCAGCGCAATTGGGGGCCTGCTCCGTTAGCACACGAACAGCTGTCGTCATTGGTAATGGCCTTTCTTGCAGCGGACAACGGGCAACGCATACGCGCTCCAATGCAAATGCAGACACACGGTGCGAATATAACGTACATGAATAGTCATCCCCAATCCAATCACGTGTGCCGCTGCCACTGTCTTTTCGGCGCTTCTTTGGGGCCTGAGTGCATTGTCTCTCTCCTACCTCCTCCCACTACCCTCAGCACGCCCTGGTTTCTGTAACGTCGTGGCCATCCCATCCCGACGCGCTTGCCGCCACACCACCTGGTCCGCATCCACGTCCACACCCACTCCCACATCCATACTATCACTTTTTGCTCCCATCTCCTGCGGGTCCCGGCCTCTCTGCCTGTTCCCCGTCCATTATTCATCTTTTTTTGCTCCTCCACAACACATTACACGACTACACGCTGCCGCTGCTGCCACCGCTGCAAACTAAACTGCCACTGCCACTACCCGACCGACTCCTGCTACACTACTCCTACTCGCTACTACGCCCCCATCGCTGCCCTGTGCAAATCTTGCGCCCGCTACGACCAGCCGTCGGCCAAGCTCCGGCATTCAGCAGCACGCGTGTGCGCAAACAGGAAGTGCTTGGTGCGGAAAGCCGACGCTCGACTATAGCACCATCCTGTGCATATTTTTTTCGCCGACTGGTACCTGTACCCCGAGCTACCCTTTACCTTCCCCCCTCGCCCCCCCTCGCCCACCCCCAAGCCTCCCCCAACAGCCTTCATTCCTGTCGTGGGTCTTCCGTCCCTGCCTCGTGCCTCGCCCTCTCCACTTGGGCTATCCGCAATCAGTCGGCTGAGGCTGAAGTGTGTGTGGGCCTCCGATCTGCAACAGCTTCCTTGTCCCTTCGCGTCAATTACCGCGCCAGCCAGCCAAACCATCGCAGCGCTTTTTACTAGTGCAGCGCAGGAAAGTCCATCGTCACCGACCCATCACCTTTTTCAATTCTGCGCCGTCGCCACGCCTTTCCACTCCCAACTCTTGTCCCATTCACCCACTGTGGACACCACTCCAAATTCCACTTCTCCCGTCAAAAGGTACCCGCCGACGGACGCGAATCGACTGTTCATCGCAATCCCCCACACAGGCTCCACCCTACAAAGCTTCTTCGTGGGCCATCCTTCCTTACCTTGCGACGTTAGCCCAACGGCCCTCCTTGGTGTGCATACCCAGCCGTTGCACACGTTACTCCGCTTCTGAGCTCCGTCGAATGGTCCCGTAACGAACCACAATTGGTTGCGCCTTTTCCCCCCATCCCTTCTCCAACCTTGACCCGCCCATAGGAGCTGTGTTGTGTACTACATTATGGACAGTACAGACCGCTTCCGCCAGTCTGGCCTAGGCAACTACCCGTCAATAGGCCAGCAGTTTAATGGCTCTCAGAACCAGCTGCCTACACTGCCCCCTCTGCAGAGCGGTGGCAGCCAGTATGCGCCGCCCATGTATGGCCATAACAGCAACCCTCACACGCCCCAGCCGCCGCATACGCCTGTGACGTCTGCGCCCAATGGCACATCTACCATGCCGCCTCTGCAGCACCCGCCGCTGCGACCCCTCCAGCCTACGCCAACGTCGTACCTGCCCATGAGCTCGGCCTACTCGCAGGCGCCCATGTTGTCCACCGCGTCCGCACACACCAACGGCCACCAGCTGGGCCCCTCGCCCGGTATGGGCTTGGGACACACGTCCATGTACGCCCATCCACCTGTGCTTCCCAACCAGGAGCCCGAGCCCGTCCACGTCGTCGGTCAGCAAGGCCGACGCGGCGTTTTGCCGACCCATCCTGGACGGCCCGCGCCAGCTGCTGGCAAGACACCTACTACCGCGACAAAGAACGCAGAGGGCAAGTACGAGTGCCCGCATTGCAACAAGACATACCTGCACTTGAAACATCTCAAGCGCCATTTGCTGCGACGTAAGTTTTGCTCAACATCTAACCACAGCCAGGTGCTAATGTTACATGCTCAGACACGGGTGAACGACCCTACCAGTGCCATCTGTGCAAGGATACGTTTAGCAGAAGCGATATCCTGAAGCGTCACTTCCAGAAATGCTCTATACGAAGGGGAAACCCGACTGGCGCGAACCATCTGCAGCACGCGCAGCAACACCTGCAGAAGAACAGACAGCCCACTGGTGCGGACCAGAACTCTTACCTTAACCACATCGGCCCTAATGCCATGTCATACGCCGATGCTGGCGGCTACTCCATGGGTCTGCCGCAGATGCCTGCCATGACCGGTAATGGCTTTGGTGACAACCTGCCTTCGCTTGCCAACCACCAGTCCATGTCGGCGCGTACTTCGCGTTCAAACAGCTTGATGCGCCCCAGCAGCGGCGTTGAGGACAGTGCCCACCGTCGGAGCATGTCTGCTATGGACTTTGCCAATGCCCGGATGAACTTCAATGATTATCGCCCGGATGGAGTCCCCAACGGTTATCCACCACAGCAACAGCAGCAGCAGGCTCAGCAGCAGCAACAGCAACAGGCTCAGCAGCAACAGGCACAACAACAGCAGCAGCAGCAGCAACAGCCTCCGACTAACGGTTCCGATCCTAACGGCCACTACAGCTACGAGCAGGCCTCTACAAATGGATCAATGGCCCAAAACGGCATGACCGTCAAAAGCGAGGGCACCGACCCAGCGTCATACGGAGTCTCTACCCTGCCAAACGTTGATGGCATCACCAATGGCCAGGATGGGTCGCTATGGCGAAATGGATCGTTCAACGGCGATATGAATAATTCCAGTACGGCAGGTGGCCCAACCTTTCAAAAACAGGCCCAGTTCTGACCGGAACTTTTAGACCTCAGATGATACACCGAATGAAAGTTTATTTGGATTTTACTCGCACGTTCCCGGGTTGGTCGACTCTTCTCCAACACTCGATGGTTGGTTCATTGGCCATACCACGTCTGATCCAGTGCACAATCTGGCTACTTCGCTTGTGAATTTTTGCTCCCCGAATGCATCTCTACTCTCAAATCAACACTCAACCGAGGCGTACACCCACGAAAGACTGCAAACAATATTGACTGGAGACAACGTCAAGGAGTTCCTACACGAATACAGGCACTATCAAGCGCATTTTCCTTTGATACACGTTCCAACATTTGATCCCTTCACTGCCTGGCCTGGGCTAGTGTTGACCATGTGTTGTATTGGTGCCGTGTACTCGGACAAGATGAGTCCGTCAGATGTCCGTTGGTTTATGGAGCGCGTCCGGGAGATTGTCTTGCGATCCAGTCAAGTTTACGAGCTGGCGCAAGCACATCAAATGGCGGACCTTGATAACCAGCTGACGTCCACGACCGAGGAGATACAAGCCCTGGTCCTACTCCACTCTCAGTTCCTATGGCACGGTTCGCAGCAGCAACGTCAACAAGCGCGAGACGAAGTCCGGGCTGTGGCTAACGTCACGCGATGTGCTGCACTCTTCCAACCGCTTCCGCCTGACAACTTGAATGCAAGCGCGTTGCATCAACCAGGACCGGTAACTGGCGAGGAGGTTGACTCTTGGAGTTGGAGTCTCTGGATTGAGAATGAGAAGCGGGCTAGATTAACAGCATACATCTACTTGATCGACGCTTCTGCTACAATATTCTTCAATTCTCAGCCGAGATTCGACCCTAAGAGTATCACGGTTCCTTTGCCTGCTGACGATGTAGCCTGGGAGGCGAAGACATCGGAAGACTGCGCTAGCGCCCTGGGTCTACGAGGACAGGCGGCACAGGCATTCAATGAGTCCGGTAGCAGGCGTGCGAAGCAACTGGCCTTGTCCGAGGCTTTGAGCGTACTCAACGGGACCTGTCCAGGAAAGTTTCCTGAGCGGGCTACCAATGTCTTTGGCAAATTCATCCTCATCCATGCTATCCATACCCAGATCTACGACATCCAGCGCCAACTAATCCAACGAATGTCTTCGAGCGGTGCGAGCACACCTCAATCTCAAAGCGGTAATGCAGCGGCACCAGTCAATGGAGTCAATGAGCAAGTGCAGAATCAGCTTCGCTCCACTGTTGGTGCTCTGAATCTATGGAAAACGTGCTGGGACAAGGATCTAGCCATCCAATTCACTCATCGCCAGCGCCGACGTGGATTCTGCCGAGATGGCATTCACTTTTACTTTTTGGCACAGGCATTCCTTCGACAATCACGCCCTGAGGACTGGGCGACGTCTGCAGATGTGCGATGCAGACACGTCTTCCATCTCTTGAAGCAAATCAGGCCGTACGTCGCCTCGGATTCTGCGCAAAAGGGCATTGAGATTGGTTCCATGACCGAAATTGCTGACGATTATGCAATCGCTGATCTCACCCTCAACATGAGGAACCTGTTCACTCCTCTCGACGAAGTATGAGCACTCATTCAGGCCCCAATTCAAACTTTCAACCAATACAGCTACCAAGCATCATTCAATCATCATACGAAACCAAACCGCGAGCGGCGATATGTAGCTCCAAATAAACCATCTTCGGTACATCATCCAGGTTTAAAAGATCGGTCTCTCAAGATCATCGTCATTATCATCATTGTCACCCTCACAACAACAACTAGAATTACAAGCATACAAGTTTTCTCTTCTCTCAGCACGATCGAGTTTTTTGCTAGGTCTCGCATTTACATAGGAGTCCCTGGAGTCAACCTTTGCACGGCGGTCATTTGACATGCAAGGTTTCACGAATCATCAACGGCGGTAACTTTACGATCGACTTTTCAACATCCAAAACGCATTAGACAAGTCACATCTCATGGTCTGCATTTGCTGGACGCGGCCAACCTCTCTCTCTCTCTCTCGGAAAAACAAAACGCCTAAGAATTTGGAGGCGGAATAGGATTTTGTCAGATCATGGGGCTGCCTTACAATTTGCAGTGCAGATTAGGCTGTGTGGGACGTATTAGCTCGAAAATTCAGTGTACATGTTCATTTTGTTGTTTTCCTACATTGCTGCAAGACTACTCTAATTGCATCGTCACGGTGTTACTGCTCTTTGGGAGAGACATAGATTAGAGACCGGATGTAAGGGAAGTGCGCCTAGTAGCCTGTCCCATGAAAAGTCCTCAATGAAAACATGTTTGCTTTAAATCTTGGCTACCGTTTTTGTGAGATGATGCATTGAGAAAAAAAACTAGTTTGACAAAGAGAGGGGGAGAAGGAGGGGGGGGGGGNGGAAAGCTGAGGGCTTGGCCACCCCTCTCCAGCCATCATGCAGTTAGCACTTGCATCTCGATGACGTAGTTTTTTTAGCCACATGTCACCGTCCATGCAAGTATTTCCCAGCCTCCCCGAGATAACCCTTCTACGTACTAATCGCCCACGTATTGCGGCACACCGTGCTGATACTCGGCTCCCGCACACATACCATGGTAGACTTTATTCTCAACGCAATCAGTCGATTGGCATGTCATCTATCACATCAGCAAACACGTCATTTTCCAGAGGCGGTAGAGGATGACTGTGCTGGCGGATACTGTTAGGGCCAGGCCTAGTCTGCACATATTGTATATCGATCGAGTTAGATCTGCCTCTGTAGAGTTTTGCTTTCCTCGCAGGGCAGCCGATGGCAAGGTTCGTTGTTGTACAACTGACCTATGGGATTCTAGGAATGTGAGACGAACGCGATGCGAAGAAAGGGTAACAGGTTTTTGTCGCGAGCGCAAAAGTCTAGATGATGAGCGAAGAAGCAATACAACGCATGGACTGCATCCACAGCTAACTCGAACCCCGCTTCTCGGTCATCACGGACCAAGTCAAGCTCCCGACGCGCCGGCATGCTACTTTAGACTTTGATCTGCTCTGTTGTCCCCTATAAACCGAAGCAAGTTGACCTTGCGCCTGCAAGCAAGGGTTTCTCGTCACCACAGGCACCCACACATCGTTTGCATCGCCTTCTCCCACCCTGGGAACGGCACACAGTCCCCCTTCCCCGACTTTTCAACAAGGACCATGATCGTCAAGAATGAGCTTCCAACGGTCGTTTAGCAGGGAATTGTTAAGATGGAGACCGAAAGGCCTGGAACTGGCCCATACGTCGCCCTTGTGCATGGCATGAGCAAGGATGTTTATCCATACACTTTCAAGACGTCGAGATGCCAAGAAGCAGAGTATGTCAGGAAAACGCATGGTTGGGCCGAGCTGACGCGTTTTGCGACACAGGATTGGCGACGTGGAGGCGACAACACGACGCGCCATACTTGCTCCAACAACGATGGAGAAAGCGCTGAGGTGTCCAGGAAAGCCACAAAGTACAGCGGATCTCTTTACCGACAATTACACGTCGGGAGCCAATGCATCTCATGAGTCGTTCGATCACGCGCTAAGGTATCAGGTCCCGACATACCCAACAATACCGCCACTTCAGCCTCTCAACACGAGAAATGGTACTCATCGAACCTGTGGTCTCGGCATGTCTCGAAGCAAGCGTTTACCACGACCACCATCCATGCACTTCACGACTGTCGTTGAGCACAAACACCCGGCCTATGCGCCTGCGCAGATAGCAAAAAAATGTAGCGTTGAGACATTCAGTGTCTTTGAGATTGACGACATCGCCGAAGAAAAGGTAGCGATTGCCGGCTTCCTGAGTGTCCCAACACAAGGAAGACGCTCACGAGCGTCCTCCATGTCCTCAGTCGTGTCGGAAATATCACACCAAGAGCCTGGAGCCATCTACATACGGCCATCAGCACAGCTTCAGAACATGCAATCTGTCAGTGATTGTGACAGGAAACTGCAAGAGGCTGCACGATTCTACAGTTCGGCCATATGCAAACCGAACAATCTGGGGATCCATACGCCCACTGGAACCCCAGAATCAATTTCCAACATTCCTTTCAGGACCAGTGTGTACCAAGCGCACGCCAAACTCAACCGCTCTCTCCAATCTATTCCGACCCTAGGAAGTTGTAAGAGCATACAAAACTGGGCCAGATCAAGCGAATGGGTAGAGCCTTGTCAAACGGCCGAAGGACCGACTGAATGGATCGAAGACTTTCTCACCCGCAAGGAGCAAGCAGATCGTGCCGAAGAGGAGCAGACACGCAATGAGAAAAAAGAAAAAGTCACTGTTATGCGTGGGAACAGCCTTGACAAATTCAGGAGAAGGCTCAGCATAAGAAGAGTTCCGGAGGAGAGAAGAAACACTGTACCGCGACGGAGAAAGTCAGACATGGTTAGCACGCGTGATCGGACAAGAGCTGTTTCGTGGGACATACGTACGCACGAGAATATTCTTGGACGATACGATTTTCCCAGCGGACTTTCCCCCGAACACTCTCCATCGCCACCACCCCTCAACAGCGTGGAAAAGCCACCAACCCAGCCAGCACCAGCGCCAGCGCCACAGCAACCCCCGGTCTCCCACGATTCAATTCCGACCATAAAAGACCCACTTAAAGAAAACATGTCACAGCTCTCTTTGCACACGCCAAAATACGCGTGTCACGATCGCTCATCATCGAAAAACAGCGGTCTTCCTAGGTTGAAATTCAGATCCGTAACTATGATTGGCGCAGACGTGAAGAAAAGCTTTTGTACGACCGTCGTCCCTGTTATTGTAGAAGGGAAAAACAACATCTCCGAATTGGTGAGTAAAATGGAGAAGCTTGGGCAGGGCTTGACTTGGGGGAAGATTGGGAAGAAGGTGAGATTTAAGAGGAAGGGCAAGGGAATGAAGAGGAAGGATAGTGCATCGACACGGTGATTGAGAGGGTTGTCAGATGGCGGAAACCAGCGTAATCAAGCAAGGTTTAAATGCTGGTGGTCTGACTTTTTTTTTCGGAGTTTAACGGTTGGTGTGGGGGGGTTTGATTTCATGGCGCAATGGTGGGTATTTTAGAAGTACAGCATGGCCGGAAGGGTTCTGGTAAAAAGCTTTTTTTTGGATACTTGTATAATGTCTTGTTTATATTTCACCAACTCATTGCCGGGATAGTTTATTCCTAAGTGTGAGAGGTGAGGTAGGAGAGATATGAAGGTTAATTAAAGCCTTTATGGTCTTTACATTCCGTGAAGCAAGGGTTCTCTCGACCTAAGTGGAGATTCTCTTTCTTCTCTATTCTTTTCTTTTTGAAAGAAAAAAAACTGCTTTTTCACAAACTTACTAGCCGTTTTTCGATATAATATGACAAAAAGGTATCTTGGTGGCATACTACATCTACGCCAAGAAGGAAATCTTAGTCCCAATCACATTCACACTTGAAAATCCCAGTTTCAAGAAGAAGAAGAAAAAGCAGCGTATTACATTATTCACAAATATTCATCTACTACGCTAATTTTCGTTTTCTTTTTGTTTTTCTTCTTTTACGCAGTACCCGTCGCCGAGCTAATCGGCAGCGTAACAGGCATTGGGGTTCCGGTGGCGGAAGCAGTGGTGGACGAACTGCTACCGCCTCCACCGCCGCCACCATTCTTCTTTTGAACTACCGCTTGCACGACTTGACCGGCAGTGTTGGTAATGATGTCGACGAGGGCACCAAGGGGCTCGTAGGAGTAGGTTTTTTGGGTGAGACCTTTGCCTACTTGCTTGATGCTGCCTTCGACTTCGGTCATGTTGAGCTGTGTTTTTTTTATGTGAGTTATTTGATAGAAATGAAAGGGGGGAAAGAAGGAAGATTGTACCTTGTAGTTTCCGACAATTTGGGAAATAGCATCTGTACCTGCTCCGACGACATCTTGGACAATGTTACCCAGATTATCGACGAGGAAGCTGAGGGTTTTTCCGTTTTGTGTAATGGATCCGAGCTAGAATCTCCGTTAATTTTCCATCTTGTTTGAATGCTTCTTTTTATATAAAAAAAGGTGAATATTCAATCAAAACTTACCAAACCATCAACGGCTCCAATGACTTCGCCAACAAGATCCGTAACGTTTCCAATCAAGCCGATCAAGAGAGGGTTTAGGTCCAAAGAGTCAAACACACGCTCGACAATCTGGACTAGATTGCCCAGACGCACGACGAGCTCGAGATTAACATCGACATCGGCAATGGTAATGTTGACCTTTTCAATACCGACTTGCACACCAGCGTTGATCTGAACGAGCCCCGCAACTTTGGCATTGAGGTTAAGATCGGCTTGCAGTTTCTCGACAGTCAATTCAATGCGGCCTACATGCAGCTCTGGAACGCGGAGCAGCACATCTGGGGGGTCAGATCCCGTAGGCGCAACCTCGGGGGGTCTAGTCGTGGTGCCATTGACAGAGGGACGATTACTGCTTGTAGGCGGAGGAGTCGAAGGCACCCCCGACGACGTCTGCGCGGTAACGAACGTAGCAAAAGTAAGAAGAATGCTGATGAGCAGTAGACGGAAAGAGAATGACGACGACGACATCTTGAGGAAGAAAGGTGAAGCAAGCAAGCG